GTTAACTTTTAAATGTTGCAGTTTGCTTTTATAACGATAGTCTGTCGGTGTATTATTTTGCTTTGTGGAAATGAGTGAAAAATTAGCAACTCGTACATAAACTATGTGAATGTTTTGTCTGTACTAAAAGCTGCTTCATCGAGTCGTTTATAGTAACTGATGAATTAGGTGCGATATTTCTCCATCTCTAAGAGTTGTCAGTACCCAACTTTCAGGGGACTCACGTGTTCTTTAAGAGAAGCTTGGAGAAACAAAACAAGGCCTCTGTAAGAAATAAACTATGGTGCCCATAGGAGCTACAGTACCGAAAGGTTTTGCATAATTCTATGTCACTGAAAATTTCACTGTCATTATCCCCAACTCTTTGACCCTTGAGAGCTTCTCCTTACAATATCACCCCTAAGTCACTCATTATGGTCAGGAGAATAAAGGAAATGATCACCAACTAAACCAACTTTCTTGGTTAAGAAAAGTTCACTCGTCAGCACCTGTTTGGAGGAAAGTAGGAAGAATATGCAAACTGATCTAGGGTGTAAAGAGTTAAAGAGCAAAGTTATTCAAGTTGAGGTTTGGATTTCGTGGTAGAGGCAGCAAATGGACTGACTGCCGAGAAACCGATAAGTAGGAAAGAAATGCGAATGTGGTGATCCTGCACTACCTTTGGCTTTCTGCTCGTTATCAGTTGGTCTGCCCTACAATAAGTTGTCCCTTACGGTCTGTTACTTTTTGCGCCGTTATATTAAATCTCTGTCGTGTACCCAATGCAGCGGACATAGGCTGTTGTGCACCAGAGTTCGGGAAGCGTCAACCAAAGTGTAGAGATCGACGACACAAGTTGGTTCAATAGCGTTTCATGCGATTGTCAACCTGTCTGAATATTATACACTTGCGGTGAAAACTTAAAAGTGGAAATTACAATGTACAAGATCTAAAAATGGGCCGAGGCTAATTACAAAAGAAGCGAAATCGAAAGGAAAACGAAACTAAATACGATAGGCTGCAACTTCCGTCTGATTCTGTCTTTAAGGGTTTAGAGAAACTCACACGTTACGTAACTTGAACGAGTGAAACTTACGTGAAATCTCTGATCTAACTCCGTCGATCTCCTAACTTCAACTGCCTCAAAACTTAAGAGGCGTACAATTACAAGCGTATCATTGTCGTGTACAATTGTAGACTGGTTTAAACAGGAATGCTAGCCACGTAAGTGGTTCAAACTGTGAACAATGGTGTCTGGAAAAAGGGGCGTAAACTCGACAAGGAAACAAAACAGCAAGCCATCTACTTCTAGAAAATCAAAAGAAAGGCAGTTATGTTATTAAGTTCCTCTTTGAATTTTCATCACAATCTGGTTAAATTCATGTATGTCGTACGAGTCAGCCCCCGCTTTAGTGGTGGTGCAAACCTCAGCGATATTGTGTTCAAATGCATCAGGGAAGCTTTAAATTCACCGAACCCTTGCCGTGATCGTAGTTTTTATAGATGTGAGCTTCGTTAATGTTGCATCTCAAAGGCGGGCACTTGCGGCTGGAAAAGATTTTTGCGCACGAAAGGTAGATCATAACGAACACTGTGCGGAGAGAGGGTTTTAATGTGGAATGAATCTTTTACGTGTATTTTGCACGCGGCGATCACGCTCCACGGGCGAAACGTGGACAGTGCCATAGAGAAAGGGTCATGTAAGATCAGTGAAAGTGTCCTATCTCTTACCAGTCGTTTCCAAAACAAAGGAGTTAAAAACATGGCCGATGATCAAGGGAATCAAGACAGTTTGAGACAGTTTGTTGCCGATGAATGTAAAGCTCAAGCTACAGAGGTAAGTGCATAGCATATGATCTTTGGTCAGACATAAGAGAACAGAAAATGACCATTTTTTCGGGGCATTATTAGACAATGAATTACTCTCTGATCGATGAGAAACTTACACAGAACCCTCAATGCTTTTATCTCCTCTCTCCCATCGGTTTTTTTCTGACGTTTTTCCTTTTTTCTCAGCGGTCTGACGTTGAAAACCCTGAGAATGTGACTTTAGATGCCGAGAGAATGAATAACTTTTATCAGCGTGCGTTGAGGGAAAGCGAGCGGTGAGTAGTTTGATAATTATGTGATGTGACAGCTGCGGGTAAACAAAGCAACTGTCACCGTTTCTCTTCTTCATTGTCGAGTACATAATTGAGCATAATACCACTCGTATGCCTTCAAGTTATGTTTTTTTGAATGATTTACTTTAAAAGAATACGGTAAAGGTTAACAAGATTAGTTTTGGAAAACTTTTTTCGAGGTTTGGTGCTCGATCGTCCTTGTAAGATAACTGTGAACGCATTTTCCTTGTTATTGTGGTTGCATATTTTTATTATTATTGTCATTATTATCAGTACCATTATGGAGTGTGTCTTTAAAATTGTATCAATTCATCTTTTCTATGATACTCAAACTGTAGACAGGCTTTATTTTTTTGGTGGACCTATTGCATATGAGAGTTGATCCTTCACAGTTTCGATGGCTTTGAATAATTTAGGGGGTGTTGCAGTTTAGATCTCTGAGTAATGACAGCCCTTACAACAAATCAAAACCACAGGTTTTCCACTGTCACCCACTTCTTTGATATTCATTCTTATATATGGGTATTTAAAAAGCTAATGTGATGGCTAACTGCCAATTTTTCCTCATTGCTTGGTTGATTAGAAGACTGCCAAGGTTTTCTTGTACAGTCATTAGTTCAACACCTGTTTAGGCCTGATTGTTTTTTGTTATTTCAAGGCTTCACATTCTCAACTTCTCATGTTCTGGAATAGCCCAATTTTGATGTTTAAAATTTTGAGTAAAATCGAAGTGCATTACTAAGAATGTCTAGGTCCAAGAGGGTCTTCCCAGAGTCTTGTGCTGATGTCTATGAATGCTATTATTTTTTCTTCTAAATATTAATGATAATAAAGTAGCATAATCTGATAGTGCCATACAATCCCTGATAGATCCCGACTGATATGCATTTTATTCTTGGTTTAGAATGAGCAATGAAGTCACTAGATCCCACATGCAGAGAAGTGAACTTCATAAAGAACTAGGAGCAGACATGTTTAAGAGCTGGACTCAAGATCATGCTCAAGAGGTCCTCAGTTCTGAAAGGTATGAACTGTGGAGCAAAGAAGAAGAAAAGGCAGAAGAAGCTCTTAAACAGCTGAAGAATTCATCAATCTGCGAAGACGAAAGCAGTGATGATGCATCACATTGACAAACTTTATTATATTGGAACATATGGTAGCAGAAATTAGGAATTCATGGAAGTCTTGGTATTTAAAATTGTGTATAGATTGACTGTTATATTTTTGGTACATGAATTTGTGGCTCACAGCTGGTGACTTAGACTCTAGCACAAGGTTGTACCATTTTTGTTACCAATGTAAGGACACAACAGACACTGGTTGTGATGAAAACAACAAACTATAAAAGGCCTGTTTACATGGAGGTTGGGAATCCCCGATAGTTAAGGTAACTTGCCTTTCCATGTAATCTCTTATTTTATCTTGATCATATTTATACGACAGGTGTGGTGATTCACCCAGGCAGGATTAGCCCAGTCTGCCAGGTACTGGGTAACCCTGTCAGTTGGGGTGACAATTTGCCATGTAAAGGTCTCAAGGTGGGGTAATCTGCCTAGTGGGGGTTGGGTTCATGTTGCAAAGATGTCAAATGAGCAAAACAATAACAAAAAACATGTGTTTCAAAACTTTGTACATTTCATAGCCATCCCATGCAGAACTAAATAATTAACCACCTTTTACATCCTCTCAGCAATGAAACCCTGAGAGCAATTTTTGTCATGTTTTTACTTTGAACTCAATACCACATTCACATGTTATGCTGAAGTGAAGACATTATACTGTCAGAAATGCGTAATGCATCCAGTTATTGCCAAAAATCTTACAAGGAAAAAAATTTTTTTTTTTCGGCAACCATAAACCACAGGTCATGGTAGTGACATCTTAACTCCCTCAGTGCAAGCACAACAACAACCTCAAGAAACTTCCTGGCATCCAATGGTTGTAAGATTGTTTGTCTACACTTGCTGTGTTTGTAGGCGCAAGAATTTGTACTATTATTTTTTGTTAGTGTTGGTGTTTCATAGTTTCGTGTTTATTTTCTCGTCTTCCATTAGTGTCCTTTGTCAGTTACCAGTTTTGTACTTGTTATATTTATTTGCATATCGTATATATATTGGTTGCGCGTAATTTATTTGGTTAGTTGTCTAGTTTGTGAAAATTACCGTTACATATCTAGCTCTGGGTTTCATGTTTTCGTCTTTGGGTTGGTCACATTCGTCTTGTAAGTATCCTTGTTTATCTCGCTTTGTCGTTTTCCAGTACTTTCACTCATACGATGTAAGTTATTTTATGCTCATTCGCGTGTTTGTAATTTTGTCATTTTCAGTTACCGTATTCAACAATGTGTCAAGTTTGTTCTAGTAAAGTTTGAAATACGAGTGATTAGCGTTTGCGGCTATAGTGTTTTCAACCATGGCTAGACAGGTTACCTCACCTACCTGGGTCCCCCACTTCCATGTAAACAGGTCCTAAATTTGGTTTCAGTTATATGGACACTTTCTCTTCTGCAATCAACAAAGAAAAAACAACCAATTTATCAGTCACACACAGCCAGACATTGGCAAAGTAAGAATGAAATAGTCATTGTGGAAATTTGACTGGTTAGAAGATCCTTTTTTTTTTTGCATCTAAGGCTTAAAATCAGCTGGAAGGCCGGGGTTAAATGAAATGCATTCAGCCAGTCAGTTTTAAAGCTAGTTTTGATGATCAATTGAAAAAAGTAATGGACAAATCAACATAAATGTATAAAAGATAATTATGAAAGTCAGCAGATAGCCTTTTGTTTTACACTTTCATTCTTTTAATCAGTGGACATTACATTCATTTTATGTAGGAATATTATTTAGAGAATTAAATCCAAAATATCATTTTTCCTCAAAGAAGAAAACCTGCTTCACATGGCACTTCCACATTTTACTTCCAATTTTTTTAATCATTCTTGTTCAATGATGGTCCAAATTTAGGAAGTTAGGATTCACAACAAATTATTACTGGCCTTTTTGAAATTTCCTTATTTAATATAATTTAAAAAAATTGGTTCCTTCTATCAAATAGTAGAAGAACACAATGATGGTTGGGAAATGAAAGATAGACATTCATTTTTTTTTTTCAATTTCTTAATCAGTGGTTTTTATTGTGTAAAAATATTTCTAGATTTAAAGATAACTAATTTTAAGATAACTAAAAATTTGTTATTTTATGTTACATACGTGTAGAAAATAAATGATTGTATCAACTGAACCTTAATAGTTCAAACAGACTTCTGTACTATTTCTCCTTAAAGTTAATGATGTATAATTAATTATGTTTGATGTCTTCTTGCTTATAATTTTTTGCTATTTTAGATAGATTTAGATTTTTTCTTTCACCAATCCATGCCATGTTATTTACACACTGCACGAGAAAGACTTGTGTGTTACTCAGCTATTCCAGGGGGAACTTCTAGGCTCAATTACCAAAACAAAGGGAATTTAAGTCATGTTAAATTTGGAAAAAGCAGTTGGCATTACTTTACTTTACGCTAAAATGAAATTTTTTGATCGACTAGAAGAGAAATTCTTTATTAAGTAATGACTATTTTTTAGAGAAATAATATTTCTTTAGGATAAAAAATTCTCATTATGAATCTCGAAATTAAAGGCAGCTATAAGAATTTAAAATGAATACAGAGGTTCCGTGTGCGGATACATGAAGTGATTCAACTGGATGAAAAGTTGTCATGATACAGTGTTCAAACGATTTCTGAAACTTTTTCCCTTGTATAGAAATGGTTCAGTTAAAAACCCTAACATTTTTTTGCCAGTTATAGTTGTGAGTTGAAGTAATTAATCTTAGAGAACGCTATCCTTTCTAAAATAATTTGAAATTTGTTAAGGTTGCTGACTTAACGACACAAGAAACTGTGTTGATTCAAAATAGCATCAGCCTTAATTTTAACGGAGAGAAAATGCAAATACTTCATCTCCCTTCATACGAGCTTCAGCCTACTACGCAGACACTGTCATGCTCCTCATGTCACGCAATCACTCTTCCCCATTAACAGCAGACGTTGGCGTGCAGGAATGACTGCGCACACGTCTGCTGGCAGGCTATATAGGCTGTTTGGCTCGGAGGTCAGTTTTCACTCCTTTTTCTTTGTAGTCCCAGATTTTTTTCTAAGTACGCTTTTATCAGTTTAGAGTGGATTTTTTTCTCTTAAAATACATTCAGTATTCTTGGAAGGTGGCAGAAGGTGTCTACTTGACGCGTAATTAAGCCCAAAATAAATATGTGACGCGTAAATTTTACAGAGGGAGGGTGAGATTTTGAATTTTCCCTTAAAAATCCGTGACGCGTGAAATACTGTTTCAAGTGCTAGTGACGTGTTAATGTTTCTAAAATTCGTGTTTAAGACGGGATTAAGACCCCCCCCCCCCCCTCTCCCCCATTCCTTTGCTACCCTCTTCTCGATTGACCAGTGGCGAATCTTCCCCCTTATTTTTAATAAAAAAAAAAGAACAGGAATCGCAGAAGGAAGAAAAACCGGCTGGGCAAACGACATAAAACCGGGTGTCCCCTTTAGCTCAAGGTCTGGATCTGCCTCTGTTGACGACTATATACACTCCCTACACGATGGCTTCCATATATTCATCGTCTTGTTTCAGTGACGAGTCATGCTTTGTTAGACCATTTCTTTCTGAATTATGATTTAACTCGAGTGTTTTTAGTCCAAAAGTAAAGTTAAATAAACTGTCCTTCCGTAAAGTTCCTTTATGGATTAACGCATTGTTTGCTTGTCTCTTGAGCTTGGCTAAAAGAAGCAGTTCTTTTTTGTGGCGTTGCCTCAAGTGTTGTATACGACGCGAGCAGTTGATCTTGAATATGGCAACGATTCTGGACAAATCAGCCTTCATTTCTTCTTTGTGTCTGGACAACTCCACTCGTCTTGGAAGAGAGTGACTCTCTGCACCTACAAGGAAGCAAAAACTGAATTCAAGTACATTCTGCCAACAGGAATCTTACGGAGGTGATTTGTGGCTTCTGCCTTTGATTTTACAGAGCTAATCAAAACTAAAAAAATTCTCGAACGTGATTGGTTATCACCAGCCCGATTTGAGCACTAACTAATAGGAAAGTGTACGCGTTATGCATATATGCTTGTAATTGGACAGTGTCATAGGACAGTTAAAGGGACAGTTAACTCGCTATTGACGCGCATTTCGCCGCGTCAGCTGTTTGTTTGTTTGTTTGTTTTAATCAGAACGTATAAATGATGTCTACTTTCTTTCTCAAATGTTGTCATAGGTTTGATTAATTGGTAACAGGACTTCATGTCGTCCAATTCTGTTCTGTTCCAATTCGTCCAATTATACCCGTGATAAACAAATCGGATTCTCGCTTCGCGTTCGCCCGATTTTGTTGGACTCCACTCAGTCCTGTTATAATTGTTAATAAACGCTCCTGTATTTCATGAACATCTTTAAGAAAAATTTGGAAACTAGAGATGAGATAGTGAACTGCAGGAGCACAGCTCTGTTTTATTTCCAATGTCTGTCACTGGAAATTAAAAAAGCATCCACTTTAGTTTGGTTAGCGTGCGCTGCTTACTCGTGATTCTATGCGCAATAGGGATCCGCAGTGAATTACTGAGAACAATACTCCTACAGTTCACTATGTCATCCCCTTTTTCCCAATTTTCCATTGGGATATCCATGAAGTTTGTTAGCTCTGTGAAATCAAAGGTAGTTTTAGTGCTATAAGATGAACATCAACTTTGTAAACTTTGACAAAATCATATCAAAAATTATATTTTGGGGGACTAGCTGATATTAGATAATGATCAGTTTTCTCTTAGTGCTGAAAATACCTTTTTTCCTGAACTTTACCCATCCCATCTTCTTAGCAAACTCAAACTTAGCTCCTACTAGCCACATCACACCAAGGATTACACCACAGACGATCAGCGCACGCACGTACGTGGGAAACCTCGGGTCAAACAGACTGCTCGAGCGCTCGACAGACATGCTTTTAGGCGTAATCTATGGAAGGAACGAAACAAAATTTAGGGTATGCATGAACTCACAAACCTGCGATAGGCTGCTACTCCTCATTTTCCAGATGGAGTGTACCAACACTGCGAATCGCTTCATACTTCTGATACTAGGACAAGCTCCATGCAGCTAAATGCACCGTGTGACTAGTTAGTATTATGTACTTAGTCAACAACAACATTTACATTTCACTTTTCAGAGGTGGATCCAGGAATGTTTCATAGGGACACATGAAGTTTTGTTTAAAACAGTTTCAAACTAACGCGCTTTTTTATTAAAAAAAAAAAAGAAGAAGAAGAAAGAACGACAAAAACAACAATAAAAATAAACAAAAAAGACCCAAGGGACCCAACCCTGCCCCACTTTTCTTGACCCGCCACCGCAAATCCTATCGCCTCAGTTGTCGCTAACTAAACTCGAGACATAGAATAATACCTCGATTGCTTGCACGTTATTCTTCACAATCTTGGATATCTCAGAGCGCTGCTCGCTGACGTATTTTTGAAGACACTTCTGTATCTTCTTGGCCTCTCCTCCTAGCACCACACCGTATGCAGCCGAGTAGTCCAGTAGCTTACTGATGCGTAGATCCCGTCGATTAAATAGATGTTTCTTACTCCCTACCGTGTATGCATCGATAAGCATTCCTTTTACCTCTCGACTGGTTAGAGCTTCGTAAACTTCTTGCAGATTAGTGTACTCCTTGCCTAGGGGAAGAAGCCCAGTTAATCAAAGATATTTCAAAGAAAGTTCAGGATTAACTAGAAACGCACATCCTAAATAGTTCTACTTGAAGTTGTGTTTGTGATCGTCCTAATCATAAACAAAAACCGTGGGTAATGAGAAATAAGAGCGATGGCCTTTTCTATACGTATTACCCAGAGCCGAGGAGGTTAGATTTTTAGAAGGTTGAATTTCAACAACTTCTTATAAATAGAACAAGAAAGATAGTAAGTTTTGAGCTCGGTAAAGAAATAGAGAAAGATGTTTTTCGTTTTGTTTCGAGCGTGGGACAAAGAACAAGTTCTGAGTCTCCATGAGGGATCGTACCTCAGACCTTCGGATTCCGCGCTCTGATACTCTACCACTGAGCCACAAAGACTCCACGGTGAGTGATAACTGCTCACGGAGGGTCGAAGTATCTTTGTTCAGTGAAATGTTATTTTAGATCAACACCAAAGTGCTCATCACAGATACATCATTTACAAAAATATCACTTACCACCGGGGTTGACTCGGGCATTTTTCCTGATAGCAATACGATACCCGGATGAATTCTGAATTGCAGCAATCTGCAAACAAACGATACTCACACACATATACATATATATATATATATATATAT